AATTCTCCTCTGACATTCCAACCCATGGAGGGAGAGTGGGGGTAATCAGCCAGGGTCTGCCCAGGAGACCCAAGGCCTGTGAGAGCAGGAAGTCGGTCTCATCTGAGAGTGTTAGCTGTAGCCTATTTATCTCCCTTATGGGCCACTTTTGGAAAGCAAGAGAGAGCTGGCCATGAAGGCTCACATTCTAGTTGAATACCATGCCATTTTTACATGTAAAATTTGTAATGGCAAGAAATACCTTTAACATAAACAGGTGATTACTCCATTTAAATGTAGTCCGAGCTTTCCTCAACCCTTGAGTCTACTACTTGTCTGCTTGCCCTGTAGATAATTCCCAAGAAGGTGGGACACTCAGTGACTTCACCTGCTTGAGCAGTTGTGTAATTTTGGCAGCTGTCCCTGCTTTGCCATCTGTGCCAAGGAATCGCGGATCCAAGAGTGTCTGCCAAGAGGAGTCAAAACACCGCTGACAACCAGGACTTGGACTTGCTACAAATGGAGGCAGTCCAACTCTCCAAAACAGCCAATGCCATTGTTAAAGGACCATGATAAATGGATTGAGTGCATCTGCACTTGTGAGCTGACAACGGTCCAACAGGGTGAAAAATGACTGGAAGCCAGGCTTCTGGCATAGTCTGCGGAGGGTGTGCAGTGTTCCACTGAAGCCTGGCAATGAGGCAAGGCATAGCAGAACCATTTTCCAAGGAATTTTTCCCTTCTGGGCAGAGGTCATAGCGCTTCCATTTGGTTGGATAACATGTGGTATCTTGGGAACTAACCTGGAGAAACTCTGCACACAGTGAGAAGTGCAGAAATACTATGCCTTAAAGACACATGTGCTTGAAGCATCTGCTTGAGAGACAGAGACAATGAGCACTGTGCTTATTCTGAGGACATTTCTTCCATCTTCTCCAAGGCCCTCTGGCTCAGTAACAGGTCATTTAAGGCAACAAAACCTGAATTTCCAGATGTTCCAAAAGAACAAAGAGCTTCAAGATGTTTCAGTAGAAACATATAAGTAATAAATAAATATATATATATTTTTACCTCGAATTATTTTTTATCATTTTTTATCTTTATATTATTATTACTAAAAATTTCCACCTCCTCCCCACCTCCCATTTTCCTCCCCCATTCCCCCACTTCCCCTCCCCCTCTCTCTACAGTTCAAAGAGCAGTCAGGGTTCCCTGCCCTGTGGGAAGTCCAAGGTCCTCCCCCTCCATCTAGGTCTAGGAAGGTGAGCATCCAAACAGACTAGGCTCCTACAAAGCCAGTACATGCAGTAGGATCAAAACCTAGTGCCATTGTCCTTGGCTTCTCAGTCAGCCCTCCTTGTCCACCACGTTCAGAGAGTCCGGTTTTATCACATGCTCCATCAGTCCCAGTTCAGCTGGCCTTGGTGAGCTCCCATTAGATCAGCCCCAACGTCTCAGTGGGTGGGTGCACCATATAAATATATTTTCAATAAGCAAATAGCTGCCTGTAATTCTGTGTACAGCCATAAGCACTATTAATTTTGGTTGTTACCTTCCATTTTCTACTCTTTTTTACCTTTACTTTCCCTCTTTTAGAACCCCCCTCTCTCTCATGTGTGCAGTCGTGCGCACATGTGTGTGTGTGCGTGTGTGTGTGTGGTCAAGGGGATATCAGGTCATTAAACCAAGTGGTCAGTTCTGAGCCTCGGTTTTCACAACCTCCCAGCATCAGCAGCCTCAAGGATAACTCCTCCCTGAAATACCTTCTTCCCTTGGATCCTAAGACCTAAGACTCTGCACTGTCCAGATTTTTCCTGTTTCATTGATCCTTGTTTTTTATTGTCTGTTTTAAAATGGTTTTGGTTTTTGAGACAGATTGACTTTGAACTCAAGACTCTCCTATCTTGGCCTCTTGGGTGTTGGGATTGTAAAGTCTTCATAAACTGCAGCTTATTAGGCTGCGTGTATCGGAGGCCACCTTTTTGGGGGGTGACTTTTATCGTGAACCTAGCCATGGTGAATTTATATGTTTCAGGGTAGGACTGTGAGGATTAGAAAACGTTAAGTAGGAGGAACAGAGACAAGAAATTACAGAGACATAGGCTAGTATCAGGAGGCACTCAGTCCCCTGCATACTGAGTTCTGAGTCCTGAGTTCACCCGCCCATGTTTAATTTTCCCTCCAATACAAAAGGGGAGAGAAAACAAAAGAAGGCTTTAACATGTTACAAAGGACAACCAGAACAGTTACTTTCCCAAATACTAGAGATAATAAGACATTAATTCTTGAGAAAAGCATTCTGTTGTTTAGGCAGTGAATCCTAGACCAAGTATCCTGAGGGCAGCTACTCCCTAGATCAAACCTCTTAATTCAAAAGAAGGAGCAGATTTCAAGTAAGCTTCAATTCTCTGACCTTTGGTCAGGGTGGAGAGGATACACTTCTATAGGCCATCTTAATGTCCAAAACACCAAGTAACCACACCCTATGTCAGGTTGTGTAGCTAAAGCTGTTGTCAACAACCTTGAGAGAGCTCAAACTCTTTGATCTTCAGACAAGGTGGAATGGAATAGGCTCACATTTTTGGGCCTCCATAAAGCGAGCCCACCCTACATTGCTGTTTTTTCTTCAATCCTATCCCAAGGCTGTCTTTGAACTTTTTGGACCACTTTCTCTGGACTCCCTTGTATTGGGGGAGGCTTCTGTCCTACCTTGTTATTCTATAAATGCACAAAAACTATATTATTTGCAATACGGTTTGGCCAATAGCTTAAGCATATTGCTAGCTAGCTCTTATACCCTAAACTAATCCATCTCCATTAGCCTATGCATCACTATGAGATCATGGCCTACTGGTCAAGTTTTGGTGGGCTCAAGTGGAGGCATCTGTCCCTGATGGTGGTTATGTGGCTTCTCATTGACTCCACCTTCTTTCTCCCAGCATTCAGTTTAAGTTTTCCCACCTAGCTCTATTCTGATAAGTCACTGGTCAAAACAGCTTTATTCATTAACAAATAAAAGCAACACATATACAGAACAACTTCCCATACCACCCTTGCAATTTCATGAACATAATTATCACCTGCCTACTGAGAACTTCCCAACATGTGTCTCTTACAGGATCTTCCTCCTGAACTCTGGACTCAAAACTTTCTAGATCCCCTTAGAATTTTAACAGGTATCGCAAGTGTCCAAAATAGAACTTTTAGACCCCATCAAAACTTTCTCACTACAAAAAAGTCCCTTGCTAGCTCATTAAACAGCTGTTTGCTCAGGATGAATTTGCTGTCTTCCTCATCTGTCTTTCATCCTCACATCCAAATCATCACCCACTACCATGGAACAACTGTCTGGATCACCACAAAGGCCCAAGAAGCAATTGCCCACTTTTGTCTTACCCATCTTTCAGACTACATAAGCCTCCTTGAGATAAAGTTGGGTATACAGATGATCTCATAATATTCTGGTAGTCTCTCATGTCACACAGACTAAAGCCAAAAAAATTTAAAATTTTACTTATAAGATTCCAATACAGCAGAATGCAAATAAGAGTGCATGGACTAAGAACCAAATTGCCCATGTTTCAAGCCTAGATACGACTTTTAGCTGTGTGATGCTGGGCAAGATACTTAACTTTTCAGCATCTGTGTATCTCCATGTGTGAAATGGGATAATTGTAATTCCTTTATCATGCTTGTTGTGAGAATATTTATACCAAGCTCACAGTGGTGGCATACAGTAAACACTGAAAAAGTTCAAAAACGACAAGGTAAGCATGTTGGGCTAGGAATAAAGACTTTCTTATCAATTCTGCATTTAAAAATCACAACACCAGTAGGTGTAGCTGTAAGAACTTAATGGTACTCCAAACATCTCTGAAAGCAAAAATACTAAACAAAACGAGCAAACCAAAAAACATGTTGGTCAACCAAACTTAAACTAATACACTCTGATTATTCTATTCTCTTTATTTATTCTGAGTTGAGGGTTAGAATGGATTATATACCTTGACTTCTCAAGTATTTTGGTGCTTCTTAAGCATCCTTCATCCTGCCGGGTAGTGGTGGCACACGCCTTTAGTCCCAGCACTTGGGAGGCAGAGGCAGGCGGATCTCTGTGAGTTCGAGGCCAGCCTGGTCTACAAGAGCCAGTTTCAGGACAGGTTCCAAAGCTACAGAGAAACCCTGTCTTGAAAACAAAACAAATTAACTAAAGCATCCTTGATCCTTAGCTTGTGTGGTTATCCATCCACTTCTCAATCAGCAAATTTTAATGCCTAAAATAGGTGTGGTTTTTCAGTCCACAGGTTGGTTTTAATATGTGACTCTTCTGTTCTACATTTGGGTTTTATTATAGCATTAAAATGGGCCATTGTGTCTGAATCAGTTCAGTAGACTGCAGTGCTTGGCACTTGTGCGCACCCATATTGGGCAGAGGAGGGGGAAGAGACGTGGTATTTTAACTGATAGTCACATGATTGACTGTTTCGTGGAGAAAAGAAGTGAAGACTCAATTTTGAACATGGCTTTGATCATTTGAATCATGTGAATTGATTTTTGAGAGAAGAGAGAGAATGGCTATAGGGTAGGAGCCCACAAGGCTGGCTGGTTAAACCCATTTTACCGGTTGCTTTTCATAGCTGAGTATTCTTGAGAACAATTCAAGACATCCCCCAACACAGAACACGGGCCATGCCCTCAGGATCATCTTTATAATCGCCATGGGAGGGAGGAAAAGTCTTATAACCACAATTATATATGCACAGCCTTTATTCACCTAGCGACAATTCCTTTGAGGATGTGGAGGGAGAAACAATCTGATTGTTTCTGCACACTGGGAACAAATGACATCTTTCAATAAGAACTTATATTATTTTAGGCAAGTTGCCAAGAGTATGAAACTTAGCACCCCCCCGATATGTGTATGCATAAAAGATGAACAAATGAACCTTGTCTTTTATAAAATGATATTGTAATTTTTGATAAACAGCTAATGCCTTCCCTCCTACTTTTAATTTTGGAAGAAAATTAGCCCTGCGATACCATCCAGACAAGAACCCAGATGACGCGTCTGCTGCTGAGAAGTTTAAAGAAATCAACAATGCCCATGCAGTCCTCACTGACCCATCCAAAAGAAACATATATGACAAGTATGGATCGCTGGGGCTCTATGTGGCTGAGCAATTTGGAGACGATAACGTTAACACATACTTCATGCTGTCAAGTTGGTGGGCAAAGGTAAATCGCTGGGTTTTTTTTCTTCAAAAACAATTTCCTGGAAGATCACAGTCTTCTTCATCCTTTTAAAAACCTATCTCAAAGGAAGATCATCCTTCCTTCTATTAAACTCTTGTAAATAAAATGAGACATCACTTCCCCAGAAAGCTGTTATTTGGGGACTATTTTTCATCAGCCCATCAATTAATTATGAAATCCAACATGACTTAACAGACTTCCGGACGTTAATTATATTTGAGTTTGAAGCTCCAGGTTAATTCTGACTGCTCCCCTCTTCTCCTGCTGTGACTAATTAAGAACTGACTCATTGCTCAAAACCCCAAATAATTTATTAGTGTGACAACTATTTAATAAATTATTATAAGACAAATTTAGCCCTTGTACTTTACTATCTATAGCTTGGGCTACATCAGCAAAGACAATACCTAGGAGAATGAGTGGTAATTATCTCACAGGCTCAGCTGGAGTCACCTTGAGGTAGCAGAGAGGACAATATGGGGAAAGGTGAAAACTAGGTAGTAGAGTACTGGGAATTGATGAGGAAGAGAGAAATTGATAGTTACCTGGTTAAGAAAAAAAAAACAATATAAAGACTTAAGTCAGAATTGTAGTAGTGATCTTCTTTTCCCAGGAACTCCAATGTATGTATATTTGGTGGTGGTATATTTATATTTTTATGAATTTTAATGTTTCTGATAAGAAAACTATTTTTTATATAGAACATGCATATGGTCTATTAATGTATTTTGTGGGCAGTTGACCTTCATGTAAGTTGTGGTAAATAATAATTTTTTAAGAACCCCAATCTTCAGAAAAGGCATGATTCGTGTTGAGTAGAATTTTGAGTGCCCTTTTCTCCTACTCACCTTCCTATATTGAAGAATTTGGTAATCGAGAGAGGATGTTTTTGGAGGTAAGCTTGAAGAGACAGTCTGTGCCACAAAGCCCTACTTGCAGCCTTCTAGCTTTCCTAATACCCACTGACCTTTCTCTGTGGGGGTCCTGGGATAAAGAGATGGTACTGTGTGGATTTGGAGCACAGAATGAGAAGGGACATTCTGACCAAGTCATAGGTGAGGGCAGACTAGTGTTCATATAACCAAGCAGGCTTTTGTGGGGTTGCCTGGGACCCTTTCTTCCAGGCATGACACTGTTCCCATGGGAAGGAGAATCTGCAGGCCCACTAACCACACACATTTACCAGACTCAATATTATATCTTGTCTGCCTAAGGAGGAGAATGGATTGTCAAGTCCAGGAAGTTGAAGAAACTGATTAAAACCCCTATAGACAAGCCTCATTCACTCAGTAGCAAAGACATGTGACACAAGGCAATTACAGGCATGACTCTAAAAAAGAGGTATTCTTTCCTTTTCTGCTGTACCAAAGCTCAGTTACACCGTGCTCGTCAAAGTGGCATTAAATATACTCCATACGAATGAGTCAGTGTACCATCAAGATGTGCATTTTAAAAAATGCCAGGTACCTGCTAGTATCTAATAGGGGAGTAAATGTGGTAAGGGATGAAGGAAGGCTGTTTCCCACACAAGGCAATTTCCCTGGAGAAGGAAGCAGAGTTGGGATGAAAAGGAGATTTTCAGAGAACAGGATGGAAGTAGCAGAGCACAAAGAAAGCAGTCAAGTGTAGGTGAAGAAGGGCAGAGGTCCTCAAGGGCCATGCCTGGGGAATGCTCACGGGGGTCTTGGAGGCAAGCAGGTGTAGTAGGGAGACCACGTGTTTGTTTCCTGGCTGCCCAGACTCCCGAAATAATCACACAGAAACCTTATTATTTAAATCACTGCTTGGCCTATTAGCTCTAACTTCTTATTAGCCAAGTCTTACATCTTAATTTAACCTATTTCTAGTAATCTGTGAATTGCCACATGGCTGTGGCTTATCTGGTAAAGTTCAGGCATCTGTCTCCGAAGGGGCTACATGGGTTCTCACTGACTTCACCTTCTTTCTCCCAGCATTCAGTTTAGTTTTCTGCACCTAGCTAAGTTCTACCTTGCTATAGGCCAAGGCAGTTTCTTTATTCATTAACCAATAAAAGGAACACATAGACAGAAGGATCTCCCACACCAAGTGGGGGTTTTAAATTTCCTTAAGATGGTGAAATCATACAGCATACATAGCAAAGAGACTGCCAGTGTGTGTGACTGAGGTCCCCCTCCGCAAACCATCCTCAGACTCCACCCTATTTCTGGAGCCATGATGAGAAGATGGGGAAGTGAGGGAAGGGAAGGAAGGTGAGGGTGTTAGCACTGGATTCTTCTTAGGTATCTGAAGATGTGTGTGTGTACACAGGTCATCTTTATCCATGCCCCATCCCCACTCACTGATTATATAAAATCTGCATTAAGATGGAAGATGTACAAGCTTCTTTACGTATTATAGCAAATTTGATTTTTCTCAGTTGACAAAAAAAATCGATTTTGTTGGAATTTCAGATTGGGGAAGTCAAGAGTGTGTATCGTGTTTAATGAGCAAGGCATTTGAGCTTGTAGGGAAATCTTGGTGCTGTTCCCTGGAAGGCACCAATGTCTGTTTGCCTATTGTTTTGTATACTCGTTAATTAGGGAGGAACTGGGTGTCTGCAACCTGTCAGGTTCTAATCCACTGGACACATGGGGTTGAAAGATGACTATTGGGAGCCTGTAAGACACGCAGCCTGATATAATGAGACAGGGCTGTCAGCCAGTCTGTTCAGCTGTCAGCAAGAACCTAGTAGCGGTCTAAGTCGGTATGGCACACAGCTGGGCTGCGATGGATAGGTGGTCGCTGCTTTGGAGCGGAATCAGAGAAGACACAATGAAGGGGAATTTTGAGGTGCTCTTAGACAACAGGTGGGTATTAACTGAAGAAAGGGCAGGGATGTCTATGCAAGTGTATCCACGTGCAGAGTCGAGCTGTATGGCAGGAACAGGGTTGTGCTAGTGCCGGTAGCCTGCGGGAGCTCCAGAGAGCAAGGGCTTCTTATAGCTCTCTCCAGCAACCCCACTCCACACCTCACAGGGTGGAGGGAAAGGAAGCAAGGGAGGGGGTGGAGCGGCCAATAGGAGGTTCTTGAAGCGACATCAGAGTCACTGAGCAGAACCCACAAAGTCCTCAGCCCAAACAGGGAAGGGAGTGAGAAGGGGGAGAGGTCTGGGGAGGCTATGCAGGACCAGGTTACAAACTGTGTGGGGCAGCAGGGGAGGCAGTGCAGGGAGCACCACCCTGCAGCGCTTTCATGGTGGTAACTGACTTCCATTGAATAAGACAGCAGTACTAGTTCACGTGGCCAGTGGGTATTCTGTGCAGTCGTTGGTTTGGGTTCTGTTTTCCTTTCCTCGCTCTTAGTACCCACAACAGCCTAAGAAAAAAGGAAGAAAATGCTGAACTTCATGGCTCTGACTGAGAGTAATTTCCTCCAGGGTTCATTTGTGTAAACGTTCTTGAGAATGGAACGTAAAAGATGGCTCCCACAGGGATGAGGCTAAGGGCGAGTGTGTGGCATTTCCGGTATGCGGAGATGTCTTTAAGTCTCTCGGGTGCACAGCTACAGACTTTGTTTCTGGGGTCGCCTTCTCCATGCCCCTCCCTCAGAACTTGGCCTCTCTGTTTTCCCTAGACCCTGTTCATCATCATCGGCCTCCTGACAGGCTGCTATTTTTGCTGCTGCCTTTGCTGCTGCTGCAACTGTTGTTGTGGACACTGTCGGCCAAAGTCATGGGCCCCAGAAGAGGACTTCTACGTGTCACCAGAGGACCTTGAGGAACAAATCAGGACTGACATGAAAGAAGGTAGTTGAGCGTAGAGGGCGCGGGCGCCATGGTACAGATCGGAGCAGGCGCTAGGTCTTACTAAAGTAACAGGCGCAGTGGCCATACAGGGTCACTCCGCCAAGACTACCAGTATGGTGGATATCTGGGAGAAGATGAGGGGCATTGACCTTGACTGACCTTAGAGAAAGGTTAAACTTAACATTATTAGAGAGAAATTATTAAACACCCATGATGTCGTAAGGCAAGTACAGTTCACCATCTCTTTACAAGAGAAACGAGTTCTGGGTGAGAGTCTTCAGGGCCCCACCACCCAGTTCCCAAATAAATACATGGAGAGTTATTTTACTTATTAATGCTGGAATGCAGCTTGGCTTGTTTCTAGCCAGCTGTTCTTAACTTAAATTATCCAGTCTACCTTTGGCCTCTGACTTTTACCTTTCTCTGTTCTATATGTCTTTCTTTACTTCTTACCCTATGGCTGACTGTGTGGCTAGGTCGCTGGCTCCTGGCACCTCCTTTCCTCCTTCTTTTCTCTCTCCTCCCTCTTCTATTTGTTCTCTCTGCCTGGCAGCCCCGACTCTTTCTCTCTCCTGCCTAGCTATTGGAAGCTATTTATTAGACCAATCAGGTGCTTTAGACAGGAAAAGTAACACAGCTTCATAGAGTTGAACAAATGCAACATAAAAGAATGCAACACATCTTTGCATCTTTGAACAAACATTCCATAACACATGTAGCACATCTTAGATTAATATCCCACAACAAGCTAAGGTAGAACTTGCTCTCCAAAGATACACTTCAGTCTTTAGGATACCCGTTGAAATACACGGGACTGAGAAGCCACAGCCTTGACTGTTCTTCCTTTGTATTGTTGCGTGATGATCTGGGAATGGCACAGGAGTGAGACTCCTCCCTTGCTCACATGCACACTCAAAGATAGCTTCACAGCAGTGTGAAGAATGAACTCAGCTTGCTCAAACATTTCTGTCTGTCCATCTGTGTGCACACATCTCCTCTCTGCCCAGCCACCTCTGTCTGTCCGTCTGTGTGCACACATCTCCTCTCTGCCCAGCCACCTCTGTCTGTCCGTCTGTGTGCCCACATCTCTGTGCTGTATTACTTCATTCTTCAAGTTCATAATAGCCAGAAAAAAATGTAAAAAAACTGTAAAGAAAGATCTCACCGAATTCAAAACACCAGAGATATTTTGCAGTCTTTGTACGATGTCTTTGTTTAAGCCATCTAGGATTAAGCCAGTCATTATATTGTCTTGAAGTCATTCTCACCGTCTTTTGTTCCTGTGGAATATGTTATCATCTTGGGGTGCAGAATTTATCACTAAATCCTACTCCCACGTCCCCCAAACAATGGAAGGGATTACTTGATAATTGAAAGAAACCACTGTTCTCAGCAATTCTGGGAACCAGAATGGTGCTCTCCTATGGTTCTCTGGTCACACTGAAACAGCACCAGAGACTACTTAAAGGCTTCTGTATGCCTGTGCGTCCCGTCAGATGTGATGCTAAGTAACATCTGGGGTGCGTGAACCATCCAGACTTCAGCAAAAGGGGGTCTTTAATCATGTGACTAGTACTGAATCCCAGACTCAGAATTGGGAGCTCAGGGAGGGCAGAGAGCTTTTTGTTCATTTGTTTAGGTTTGGTTTTTGTTGTCATTTTTTTGTTTTGTTTTCCTACTAACTGTAACATCTTGCTATGGGCACAGTCATCCAGCAACTACAAGTAGTCTGGTCATTTCATGTCATCATATTGGAACCGAACTGTGGCCTGACGGTGAAATACACTGATTGCACTTTTCCTGTGTTATTTGGAATAGACAGTGGCAAATGTTCAACCTTTTCGTGAGCGTGCACAGAGTCAGGCATGCAGGGTGCTAGCAAATGAACTAAGCAGTGCTAATTGCATGGCAAGGCCTTCTCATTGGGGGGAGGTGGGGTCTGCGTCACAATGTGCTCACAAGTGCTTACAGGGCAGGGGCCACACAGGCTCTTGTGAAGGGGGTGCTTAAGGGTTAAGAAGAAAATGCCACACATCATTTCTGTGGCTACGACTCCTTTTCTCTGGGTGTGACATCCCAGGAAAACCAGTAAACTGACTTTTAATAAAACTGAAATGGCAGTTCCTACAAGGGAAGAGATGGGGTGCACGGGTGGTCTCTGGGGTATGGTGTGATGTCTCTGGGGGTGCAGCATTACAATACCGTGTCAGGGATTACTGGCTGTATTTACCTATGATCTAGCTCCCCATTACCCCAATCCGTCAGTCCAATACTCAGCCACTGACAAAACAGGGAGAGACAGGGAGAGGAGAAAGTCAGCTTCTGCACTGATGTTGTCTTAACGTTTTCATCTTCCTTCTTTTTATTCTGGGCTGCATCAATTTTTACAGTGTTTAAAGTCAGAATGCAAAGCAAAGAGTTTTTCACTATGGTGTCTTGAGACAGGCCATTGCACTTGTAATCCCTAGCTTTTTGTTTGTAGTGGAAAAACCTAACGCAGGTGAATTAAACCCAGATCTGCTGAGTCCAGTGTCCACACGTACCCGAAAGGCCTCGCTGCCCTTCCTCTGCTGGAGAAGACTCCAGCAGGTCATTGCAGTAGACCTTGGTAGAAAATCTCTTCTCTGGAATGGAAACTTAGACGAGGTGCCAGGTCCTCCCTAGAGTTCCTCCCTGCTGGGTGATTGGTGATGGGTCTGTGCTTGTCTCACTGTTCTGATGCTCCAGAGCTGCAGACTCCATCACAGAGGTCAGATCCGTCATCCTATCCCACAGTGTCAAAAGATCCTCAACACAAAGGAACAGCCTGCTCTTATTTATAAGTGTTTATACGTGACCCAGGTTTTATGGTCCTGGAATTTTTACAGTCTGGGTAGGCCTCTTAAACCCACAAAGTTCTGAACGTGAGTATTTGCTTAAAATGAGATAAAGGAACCATAGCAAATTAATGTGCTTAAAAATGGACAAATACCATGCATGTCACAAAATCGGGAAAAAAAACAACTATAAGATACCCAGCTCAACTATATGATATTTTCCTATGGCTGTATGTTGTTTGATTGCATATTCATATAGCATAAATGTGCTATATCATTTTCTGTAGAAAATATAAAAATAATTCTGCCTTTACTGTATTTGACCAAAATTTACTTTTTTTATTATTGGTGAATTAGAAAAGTTTCTTCTAGCTTTACGACTCAAGTTGACAGTGTTTCATAAGATTAGAGATAATTGTAAAATTTGGGAAACCTGTCTAGTTTACTTGATTCACTTAAGATGTACAATTTAGAAGCTGTTTCCACAGACAGCTTCTTCATTCTGTATATTTTGAAGCTTGTCGGCATCACGACACCTAGTGCCCCTGGGGTCAGAGTTTAGAGGACACTCACATATGATGTGTCACAGGCTCTGGCATGGGTTTTAACATTCTCCTGGGACATGGGTTGGCGTAGTGAGCTGTAGCAGCTCTTTAAGCCATCCCTACACCTGTGTAGGCAGCAATGAGCTATAACCAGACTTGCTCCAAACCACAGAATCAAGTCCCCCTGAACTCAAGCAAAACTCATCTTCAATTCAGTCTTCCTTTGATCAAATCTCTTACTAGGTCCTGTTGTCAGAAAGAGATGCCGTGAAAAAAGCCAGCGTGGAAAGAGACAGGGCTTTTACTGATTTTGATTTTTTTTAAATGTCTTTTGATCCCAGTCTGTACAAATAGACCCTTAGAAGGTTCTGCATTGGAAAGGGTCTCTGGGGCTTCTGAAGTCGCATCAGCTGTGCACTGAATCCACCATTGTTCCCTAGTGCAAGCACCTGGTGGCGGATCTGTGCTTCCTGTGTGGTACTTGGAATAGCGGGGTTCAGAGTTACACCCCACTAATTCAGAGACATGTGTAGCCTACTGGCGATTTTAACGCAAATTAAGAACGGTGAGGTAGAAAACCAGACCCTATCTGAGAACTGTTTTCTGGTCTGTGGTCCGAATGGTGGTGATACTGAATGCATTTCCCTGGGAAGGAGCAGGAAGCAGAAGCTAATTGAGATAAGACAGAATAGGGTGTGGACTGATAGGGTTCATCTGTCGTACATCCGCTATGCTTAGAGGTTAGGCCCATAAATGAAGGAGAAAGCTGGAAATTTACTTTTTTTTGTGGGCATGAATACTGATTTTTTTAAAAAAAGGCAGCATTTCTTGCTCCTGTTATTTCTTCATCCAGAAATGTTGAAGTATAATAAAACTTATACGAGGTTATAAAAGTTAACTTTATAGCTGGACTTTTCTCTTACACTTTACTATACCAACCAAAAAGAGACCAGGAGTAAGCAAGAGCTGGGACTTCTTTATCCTCCCCATCCTCCATGAATGGCTTAATCTTGTACAAGTCTTGTAAAGGCAGCAATACCCTCTGTGAGTTCATATAAGCAACGGTCCTGTCAAGCCCAGAAAATATTGTTTTCCTGCAAAAAGTCCTCCCTTCTGGCTCTTATAATCTTTCCAACCTCTCTTCAGCCATGACCTGTGAGCCTTGGAGAGACGGTGTCAGGCTCTAGAGCAGTGGTTCCCAACCTTCCCGATGCTGCCGCCCTTTAACACAGTTCCTCGTGTTGCGGGGACCCCAACCATAACATTATTTTTTGCTGCTGTTTTATAAATGTAATTTTACAACTGTTATGGATCATAATGTAAACACGTGTGTTTTTTGACAGTCTTAGGCAACTGCTGTGAAAGGGTCATTTGACCCCAAAGAGGTCACAACAGGGAGGTTGAGAACTGCTCTAGCAGATGGACCTGTACTCATGTACACGTATGGGATCACTAAGTGTGATCCATGAGTTGACAGAGAGAAGAGTTGGGAGGGAAAAACAGGCAGGGGAGGGGGTGGAGGGGAGTGGTGGATTTGATCAAAACATTCTATATGCATGTATGAAACCTCAAATAGTTGAAAGAAAGAAAGAGAAAGAAAATACCACAAAAAAGGGGGAGGGGAAAGATTAGGAATTAA